GAGCCCGATTCGGTCTGGGCCCGATGTGGGCTTAATAACCGGCGACTACTGTATTAGCCACGCCGATCGAAAAAAAAGATTTTAAGATTCGCGCCTTTGCCTCTGAAACGTTTATTGGCGTAGGGAACTGAGAGCCATATTTTTGTCTTTCCTACGTTCAACCGCTGAAAATGAGGCCTACTGAGGCACTTGCGGATGATGGATTTCGGATAAAAATTCGTTTTGAAGACTGTACTGTGCTGCGAGTGCTGCACCCAACATGCCTAGGTTTGTAAAAGTTTGATCATTACTCACTACATTGAGTTTGAGCAGGTCAGAAAAGGGTCCTGACACAATTGCGTTTGTGACCAAAAGAGTGGTTGCCTTGAAAGTGAAGGATGCACGTAGTGTTAGCTGCCTTATGGTAACCCGTTGGCCTTTTCTTCCAGTCTATCAGTTTGTAATTTAGACGTCAAGGAAGGTCAACTGATTGGTGACTTATTCTTCTACGGCAAACTGGATGTCGGGAAAGATAGAATTCAAGAATGCCTTGAAGCCTGCACGTGGCTCCTCTTAAATATGACATAGATGTTTTCGACGTATCTGGCTGAGCAATTGAGAAAGGTGGTCCCAACTAAAGACCTCCTGCCGAAAGCTCTGAAGAAATGCATCGGCAGAAGCGAGCCCATTGATTTTCTGTTTTTGCTCCGCCACCCGACTGTTGAGAGTGAAGAAGGTCTTAAGGCACAGTTCGGATGTTCGCCCGAGGCCGAAAGCGTTCCGAGCGAACACCAACGACCAATCAGTCCACCATTTGACGAGCGGGGGGCGGGGGGGGGCAACGAATACGCTGACATAATCTCAACCACAAAATCCGTGAAGGAGACACAAGAGACGCGAGCCCGCTATTAGTCGATATGAGAGAGGCCACAACTAACCAACAGCCAACGGACAAATGAACGCTTGTGCATTGAGCAAGGTTATAATAGGGACCTAGCAGCAAGACGGATTAATTCGATAACTACGGAGGAGTAATGTATGCACTCTAATGATGCAAACGAGTGTTTGCGACACGTCAGCGCAAATACAATCCGGCCCGCGAACTCGCAACCTCTCTTTTCTTCTTCTTCTTCTTCTTCTTCTTATTTGGGAAGTGATGGACGCGATATATCTTTGTTTATTATGGTTGATGGGCATTACCCTGAAGTGACCAGTAAAATTACATAATAAGTTTAAAACATATTCCCTCACTACGTCGGTAAATGTTTATATATACCTTATATAACTATACTAAGGACAAAAGCTCATTTTTTGAGTGATAATATCCAAGAAGGAGTAGGAGGCAGGAAATTTTATTTTTGGGTGAAGTTACAACTATGTCTGACAACCCGTTAAAAGGAATGACGAGAAATGACAACAAAAGGGACGATACTCAAAAAGAAACGCAAAACATTGGGACGTGAAGTTGCAATTGACAAGCGGTTATGTAGAAAGATATTCAAGAAATATGCAGTTATTAGGATAGGTTCGGGCGTTCCTTCAATCGGTCTGAAGAAGACGATCATTCTTCAATTACTTACTGCTCCTTGATCTTTGTGGCCAAGCAACAGGCCGAAATGATTGCTCCAAGTTGGAGGATCGCCATGACAATGAGTATAATACCCACGATTAAGGCTTTGTCCTTAATCAAATCGTAAGTAGCTTGTGCGCAACCCTATTGGAAAAAGGATATTTATATCATGTAATCATGGGGTAAAAACATTCGCCTCAGTTCATGAACTCATGAGGTTCACGGAAAGCAAAGCTGAACCTTGACTAAAATAATCTCTGTTAAAAAGTAGCATAACGGAGCATTGAACGTTTTAACATTCTGACTTTGCGCTTCACGGGTTCTGGCAGTAACTTGCGGAACTTTCAACATTTTATTCAAATTGCACGCTTTTAGATCGCTTGGGTGCAAATAATGTGTTAGCGGTCAATGGTGCTAACTAGTGACGTACTCAGATTAAATAACTAGAAAATCTCTCTCTCCCTATATTATTTTTGGTATTACTTGTGTACTTGAATAACCCAAGGTATCTACACCAAACATATTTTTATAAACATTTACTAATTAATTTATGTGAGCGCTCGTGTATGTTAGCAAGTTATTACAGAAGGATAAAAAATAAGAGAAATTCCTTGCCAAACTCACCTGTTGGTAGGGATTGCGACATGGCGATGTTTCTCCTGCACAACAGGAAGAGGGAACAGCTTCACCCCAATCGGCAGAACTATAGCCTCCACAGCATTTCAGCTATACATCGGAAATATCGTTATGGTGGAAAAACGTACCTCTTTTTGCACTTTATCTAACGCCTTCCGCATTTCCTTTTGTTCGACTGAAGGAAGTGAGTCTAGTTGGTTAATATGCATGGCAATGGCATCGGCAACCAGCCCGACAAACTATTTTATGATATTTCGAAAGATGAAGGGTGTTTACCTTGCTTCTGTACACGAACGCCAGTATACCAGCAATAATTTGGAGTATCAACAAAACAGTGACAACTGCGGCAAACTAAAGAACACACGTGAGCGTTTTTGAAAATAAAACATTACGGTTTTAAGCATGCATGTATGCTCCTTGCAGGCTCCACAACAACCCAAAAATCCGATTAGGAACAAAAGCAGGCCGAGTGTTAGGATGAAGGCCGGGACGCCGATTGCTTCACTACCAAGTCCATTCTTTGCCTCCACAACTAGGTAGATTCCAAATCCACTTATGACGGCACCGAAGAGCTATAATGAAGATATACTAAGTTGATTACCTTCGTATAGCCTAGTAACAAAAATCTCATTTTAATTTCACGAATATTATACAAGCCGAAGTCGTAGATTATTCCCTTAAGTAGTATATGCAGCACTTAAACACTATCCTTAATCTTTATCAGATAAAATGTGCTATAGTATACACAAACGCGTGAGGATGAAGACAATTTATTGCTTCCCATAACATTCCCTCGGCATCGAACTAAGTAATCGTTTTTATTCAATCTCAGTTGGGTTATTACAATAATCAGTGCTTTTTAGCAACGGAGCAGTTATAATTTAAATTGTTTCATGATTTACATAGGATAATTTCGGTTATTTGTATTGTAATCAGTGTTGGATACATTATTATGAAAGTTAGTGCCTAATATTAGATTTTAGACAATGCTGCATAAGAGGATGCTTTTATGCAGTATGCGGGCTTTTCAATTTGGGCCGCCATTTTTCTCTCGAATGTAAATGTTCCTATATACACGTCAGTTAGCCTAATTCGCCCATTAAAAACCAATTTGTATCACTCTTTGTTTATATGAAAAACAATGAGCTCATGAGGGCACAATATCACATCGCTAGCGCTGTTTCGAAAGCTGTCCTCTTTGGCCTATATTCGACGACTCTTCCTAGAATGTCGAAAATTTTAGTTATTTGCGATGATAGATTACTTTTGATATCTCGGTGTTGTGGGTTTGTGCGCCTAATTTTATTCTTTTAGGACAGAGGACGTTTTTGCTGAAAGTTTCGGAAGGATATTTTCAAAATGAAGCGTTCACTCTCTCTGTCTCAATGCACATACTTTTTGGTTCCTGCATCACCTCTATCAATGCTGTCCCGAAAAACGGTTGATAGTTCACTGCGAAATCTAATAACATTATACGAACACTGCGAGTAGTTCATCTTAACGATGCAAAATAAAGTTGGACAAGCATATCCAGGTATATTCATCTGGTTGTTTGATGTCACCCATTTAAGAAACATTGCAAATGATAAGTGAAACCATCTGTTTTCAATTAATTCTTCCAAAGTCAACTACCTAACTCCCACTCTTCCTGTTGCGGCCTATTAAGGTATAAATATTCTGTATGATACCCGCATAGCATACACCATTAAAAAGCCTTTTATAAGGCTATTCGTGGACGGTTGTATTTAGCTAAAGCGGTTTCTTAGTCAGTAATGTCTGAACATTCGCATATCGCCAGCAGGTAGATGTTAATATGGTATATGTGATAGTAATCGTCTTATTTGACTACAATTTAAGATTTATTATATAATGCCGAATTGAAATTAAATGATTACATTCATGCAATACGTTAGTTATCGCGTTATTTTAAAAGTATACGCGTCTACCTTAGCAGTGAGAGTCCTATTCTACAGAAGGCAACTTGTACAGACGCTGTAGATTTCTTATTACTTTTGGCAAAGGCTATATCTCATTCAGTTTTCCTGGTTTCTCCCTCTTCCCACTGACACGCACAGTGAATAGATAACTGTATTTGCTAAGTCTTGTTTATGATAAAGAACATTTTTGCACCGCCAACTGAATTGCAGCATCCGCCTTGCAAATATTGATGTTGAACAAGCATTTAAAAAAGTATAAACTAAAATAAAAGCGCAGCTTACGAAAACTAGAACATTGAATGCGAAGAGAAGGTATTTGATACAGGTTGTGCCACAGGAAAGCGCCATCGTTATGTCGTGTTGAGAGAGGCCTTCCAGTCTGGGTTATAATTTATATGACTTCCTTTCCTATCTCACCACTACGAGCTTAAATTTCTGTGTCCAATCAGGAGGACGTTAGTTTTGTTTATCTGCTAGCCCGCTGTTGTCACATGTAGGTGGACGTGGGTTGCGTTTATTGAGTTAGCCGCCCACGTTAAGTAAGGTCAAACTTAAGATGTGCGAAATACTTTATTGCCACCTGTGCCTTGAGAGTTTAAATTACGCTATGTCGATAGAGGAATCAATGTAATCTCAAGTGGCAACAATTTATTTTACCAAAGCAGAAATGTACAGATGTAGATAGCTTCCTGTTCTCTGAAATGACCTTATGGTATGGTAAGAGAACAGACTTTTTATCCCAGTGCATCGTTAGTATATAAAGTGGCATACTATTTTACAAAAGTGAGTTCGTTCGATTTAATAAAATCCATAACGGCAGAGCTTACTGTGCTCGTCAAGGCTTGAGAAATATCATTTTAAGGGTGCTGTAATTGTTGAGCAGGTCTGTCAAACATTCAGTCTGACGAAAAACTAGTGGAAAAATTCAAACGTTTACATGTGTTCGTCTTTAGAAAACAGTTTCAATTCCTGATAGATATTGCAAGCTGAGTTTAAGCTGAAAACCAAACCAAACCCGACACTTAGCAGATGAAAATATCATGGAAAATGTGTCCATGTTTGGTAAATGATAAAGACTACAAACCATCGTTTTCCCTCATGCCCTATTTAAATAGAGCGATATTTTATGAATTGACTGCAATATCCGGACCCACGCCTAAATCTGGATCATCTAAATCAGCTTTCCTTCTGATCTCCAGAAATTCGTATAAAAATACGGACGATTGTGTCCTGTAACTGATCGGTGTGCGCCTATCTGCTACCACCGAAACAGATGGGTGTACTATTATCTAATACTACATACTCCCGATCAACAACCGACAAGACAGCGAACCCGTAGCTCAATGGTTAGGGCGTTTGACTCTGACCAGAGAGCGGGCTTCGAAACTCTAGTGTGGCACTCATTCCAGCGACCATACTGGAGTTGGATATTCCTAGCTGACGACGGCTTTTGAGCCAGAAATAGCTATCCTAGCGTCCCTCTGTCTTTGTCGGTATTACCTAAAAGTAAAATATAACTATACACAACCAACAAAGACAAAAGAGACTAGAATGGCCATTTCTGGCTTATTAGTAGTCATCGGCTAGGCGTAATCAACCCAAGTATTGCCCCTGAACTTGGTGGCCGGCTCTTGTTTCGGACCCACGACAAGACCCACAAGACAACGAGCCCGTGCGCAGTGGTTAGAGTGTTGGACTTCTAACTAACAAGGTCGAGGGTATTAAACTCGAGTGGAGCACCAATTTCTTGGGCTATCCTAGTATTATTTATCTTTGTTGGTTATGTCCTTCTGCCTATATCATTAGTCGCCTTACGGCGTGGCTCGAATGTGAACCCCAAGGGCACCAGGGTGGGATGAGTGTGTCCTATACCTGATCGGTGTATGACTATCTGCCACTATATACATATATAGTAGTACATAAGCGTACACCGAGCTGATAGAGGATACACTCGTTCATCCATGTTGCCAGTAGAGCTCTCACTCGAGCCTCCACCGCGGGACGGCTATGCCCGATCTAATACCGACAAGACCGCGAGTTCGATAGCTCAATGATTAAGGCGT